AGGGGGGAAATCAGGATATACAAAGAAATTAAGAAATACTTTGAAAGAAAAGAAAGAAAAGAAAAAACAAAGATTAACAAGAAATAAAAATATAAAAGAAAAAGAATAAGGAGGAAAAGAAGACATGCTTAGAAAGAAGTAAAGATAAGCATAGACACAAAAAAGAGAAAAATTGTACAGATCCTCCAGGTCAAGAAAGTTTTATGAAGTCAACCACCTCCCAAGCAGACGGACATGTAACCAGGCAATATTTCATTCAGACTGTTGCAATTACTTAAGAGAGTCTGCAACGCGAAGCAAACTTCTAAGAATAATCCTTCAAGACGCGGGTTATAGGATCTGAACCAATTACCAATCCTTTAAGATATAGGATCTGAACCAATTACGAGACTTTTAAGTGTATTTTTGTCGTGTTTGTTTCGCACAGCCATCCAACCTTGCAGTTATTATTTCTTGTTTCAATTATTCACGGTTTAATATGCGTGATTTGTTGTTTTCCATCGCAAATGATATCAGTGAAAGTGTTGGTAATTGTTGACGAAATGACCGCATCCCTATTACTCTGGCCACTCTCCTAGGGATTCACAAACGTCGCCATATAAACCCCAAACCCTCCTAACCTAGGGGTTTTCGCCCCCCCTACCCCCCGCATTTCCACCCTATCGCTGTATTCCCTATCGCCGTGGACTTAAAATCCTCGCGGTATTTGTCACGACTCGTTTTCTTCATTTCTGATGTTGTATTTAATATATTAGTGAGTGTATTTTTTATCCTTTCTTTATGACAGTGTTACTAGATGTTCTCAGTCTTAAGGCCTTTTGTGTAGCATCCCGAAACCACTAATAACACTTTGGTACATTGTTTCAAGTTGTATCACGGTCACTACAAAACACGATATCGTACCGACATACTAAGTATTGAAAGAAGGAGAAGTTATCTTCATTTATTTCTCATAAAGAAAGTCAATGGATAACCATTAAAGTAAATAATATGCTGGGGTGATTTTTAATTACAAGCAAGACATTGTGGAAGCTTTAAATAAAATACAACTTATATTGTTTTTACACACCACTCTCCGCTTCGAAAGGTTGTGAAAAGTTTATAGTTTTTTTCTCAGATTATGTGAACACATTTTTCCTTGTTACAAAATTGTCCTTCATATGAAACGTGGATATTGCATAAGGTTTTGCATACGTATCCACCGCGAGTGAACTCCGTGTCCAAATCAATTCCAATGATCAAGGACATTTACTTGACTTATTGATTGAACTATATCAACAAATCAAGATACACAGCATTTTCTTTGATATTTTTTTTAGCCTGTAATGTTATATCATAGAGATAAAGAACGATTTTGAAGACATTCATCCCACCGAAGTCGATATCACGTTAAATGACACGGACACATTGGAAATTCTTACCATGTCGTTCAAATCTTACCCATATGGATTGAACATGTATTTGATGTACTGCTAAAGAGGCACAAAAACATTTTATGTACCCTTACAATAAAATGTTTTTATCAAGAAATGATGCGATTGATAATTAATGGAAATATAAATCACTATCAGAGACTGCGTGGAATATATCTGAAAAATATAACGTTCTGATTGGCCGGCCGGAGTGTATCAAACCGTACCGAGTTGAAGGCAAACACTTTGATACAAACCAAAAAGATGTTTCAACAGGTTCCAATTATGTACACGTGAAGAGCAGACATATATCAGATTGTATCAAAGTGTTAGGGTTTTCGGAAATGTTACAAAAAAGGCCTTTAGTGCCATCATTATGTAAATGTAAAGTAAAGTAATACGCGTTACCCAATTGACTTATTATGAAGGGTGTCCTATTTTTGTCGTTCTATCCACTAAAGGCAAGGTTTACCTCGTACCGTATGGCTGTGTGAAACTGAAGCTATACCGCTGTAGGATGTGAACCAATTGCCAATCGTTATATGTGTAGGATGTGAACCAATAACTAATCCTTAAATGTGTAGGATGTGAACCAATAGCCAATAACCAATTACCATCACATATCGCTACGAGCAACTGTGATGGCGGGTCCTTTATTCTGTTCCTTAATAATAGGCCTATGAACTAATGACTGTTATACTAAAGGGCAAATGTGATTGATAACTATGTAACAGAAGGGGTCCTTTACGGTTTCTAAAAGGGGAAAATATAAAAGGGAAAATATACCATTTTTTGTTTTATTCTAACAAACAAGAACAAAAATGTAAACGGACGAAAAAAAAATTCCGTCGCGTTTCACGGACTGGAAAAAAGACGATCTTTCTGATCAACTACAAGAAAACAAATAAAATCAAGCCCCCTTATAAATGAGTTTTCTGAACAACCATCCTTTACCATATAACGCTATCCCCTCTTCGCATCGTTGGGCTGTCAACCAATCCACCAGCACTGCATGTTTTCTATCCCCTATCCCCCCTTACGTCCTCCCCCCCCTCCGAAAAAAAAACTTTCCGGAAATTTCTCCCTCG